TGCAGGTGGTTTTGTTGGAGCCAAAAAGAAACGTGATTTAAGGTTGTAAGAACGAGGATTCCCCTGTTTCAGTTTGGAACTATTTGAGTTGCAAAGGGAGTTTCGTTTCAGATCAGTTCAGAGCTACAAAACCTTGTGCAAGAGCAAACAACCTGCGAGCCAACCTGTTGGCATTATTTCTAGCTAAGCCACGAGCTTTTTTTGAGCCAACCCGCAAGCTTTTTCCCGAGCCAACCCGCGAGCTGATTATCAAGCCAACCCTAACCCGGTTCGGGTCGGGCTGGGTTGGATTTTCTGGCTCGTTTCTTTTTTCGGGCCAACCCTACCCCGACCCATTTTTTACGGGTTGAATGCGGGTTGGGCCGTTTTGCCAACCTACATATAACCTTTTAAGTTTAACAATTGCTTGGAAAAGAATGCTTTCAAAACACACACACATGCAAACACGCTGCAAATTTAGTTAGCAGTGAAGGTTGAAACACAAAATGGATGCAGTGGAAGCCATTTTCATGTTTGAGAATGTTAAATCATGATATTTTAAATTCAAATTTAAACATATGTGCACTAGCTGATCAGGTTGTTATTATGTTTTATATAGATAGGAATAGAAGTTAGTTTCATATTTCTTAGTTAGTTGTTACATATTCAAATTATAGTAATGTGTATAAAAAACCTTGTGTAAGGCTGATTGATCAATGAAAACAAAGACCAAGAATGGTACTCCTTTTAACATGGTATCAGAGCTTAGGTTCTGATCCAACAAAAAACCAAAAGTCCTACCTTGAATATTATTTTCTATTTCGAAACCCATGTTTTTACCCACCCAAATTTATCCTTACTCAACCCATATTTTCATTATGGAAACCCATGCTTCGAACCCTAATTTAGCCACCTTCCCAAATCGTGATACATCCCCTCCTCCCCGTCGCATCCCCACCCATTATCATCCAACAAGATAACTCATCATTTCCCATATCTATAGTCCTTGATGAGTCAAACTATCCATTATGGTCCCAACTTATAGATATATGAATCGGTGCTCGAAACAAACATGGCTATCTTATCGGAGCCACAAAAACATCCAAGCCTGACGACCCTAGTTTCGATGGCTGGGTGACTGAAAACAAAAGAGTCAAGAGCTGGCTCATTGACTCCATGCATCCATTTATCATGCCTCGCTTCCTGCGTCTTGAAATCGCTCAAGAGATTTGGGAAGCTTGCAAACGAACTTTCTACGACTGCTCCTATGAGATATGTCTCTTTGAATTGAATCAACGTTCGTTCTCCACCAAGAAAAATGGGCGTCCTCTTGCCACTTATTACAACGAACTCCTTGCAATTTTCAAGAAATTAATCATCGTACAACCTCCCAGCAGAATACTGTGGCTGGGGTTGTTCATTTACACTCTGCCACGACCCGACTCCGTGTTCACATCTTCCTCCGTGATGAAATTTTGCGAAAAGAACCAAAACTTGATCTCAAGAGTTCGTATGCTTATGTTTATATGGAATTTACTCAACGCCAATGATGGACAACCATCGCCCTTTTGTTGATTCCATTACCATGCTGACTCAGCAAGCCCCTGGAACAAACAAGCCTCGCAAATCCCAACCCTCTAGTAAACCTAACCAGTTTATCTGCTCTCATTGTGGTACTACAGTTTACTCTAAGCAACATTGTTATGAACTTATCGGCTATCCTGACTGGTGGGATTTCACCAAACAACCACACAAGAAGGTTCCTAGGATAGCCTTGAACACTACCTCAGATTCTTCTCCGCCTATTATGAATGTGGCTCAGCAGGGTACTCTTGGTAAAATTCATGTTTTATCTGCTTTGTCCAGGAATCATACTTGGGTAATTGATACAGGTGCTTCAGATCATATGATTAAGGACCTCTCTAAATTAAATAAAATTGGTCCTTGCTTTCAGTCCTTTATATCCACTGTTAACGGTGGTACTTCTCCCATCACTGGTCAAAGTTCCATCATATTATCTAAACACATCACTCTTAACTCTGTCCTAGTTGTTCCCTCACTTGAATTCAACTTATTATTTGTTGGCAGAATTACTTCATCTTTAAATTGCACTGACTTTTTGGCCTACCTTCTGTGTTTTTCAGGACATCTCAACTCGGATGATAATTGGTTATGGTGTTAAACGTGGCACATTGTATTTTCTAGAAGATAACAAAGGGGGAGATCACGAATTGATTTAGGCTTGCACTACTACTATTACTACGGATAAAGCCAGAAACAACATATGGCTTTGGCAGCATAGATCAGGACATCCTTCCTTTGGTTACCTCCAAAAATTGTTTCCCAAATTGTTTTCTGCATTGAATAAATTTGATTTTCATTGTAGTACTTGTGAATACCAAGAGCCATTGTATTCCTTATTATCCTAACATGAATAAAAGTTTTATCCCATTTCAAGTTGTTCAATTTGATGTTTGGGGGCCTGCTAAAATGCCTTTTTTTTTTCAAAGATTATTATTTTGTAACTTTCATTTATGAATGCACTTAGATGACTTGGGTTAGTTTGTTGAAAGCAAAGAGTGATGTCTTTGCTTCCTTTAAACATTTTCACAACATGGTATGAACATAATACAAGTCAAATTTCTATATTCTACAATCTGACAATGAGATGGAATACATGGGAAACAATTTTGGTTCCTTTCTACATGAACGAGGCATCAAACATCAAACCTCTTGACCCTATACACCCCAACAAAATGGCCTGGCTGAGCAAAAAAATAGACACCTTTTGGAAGTTGTTAGAGCCTTTCTCTTTGGCATGAATGTCCTTAAAAACTATTGGGGTAAAGCTATTCTTTCCACTGCATATCTCATCAATAGAACCCCTTCAAGTGTGCTCAGTTTCAAAACCCCACAATATAGGCCTTGGGGTCTTATTTCTCCATTCCTCATGTCCCTAACCTTGAGCCTCGTGTCTTTGGTTGTACAATATATGTCCATACTCCCAAAGCCCTACGCACAAAGTTGGAGGCATGTGAAAAAAAGTGTATCTTTGTTGGTTACTCAGATCTGCATAAGGGGTATAGATGTTTTGACCCTCTCCTCCGTAAAATTCATGTCACTTTAGAGGCCTTTTTTCATGAATGGAAACCATATTTTTCAGAGGGAGTCACCAATACTTCTCCTCAGGGGGAGAATGCTTATAGTCATATTGGAGAAGAAACACTTATTGACATTTCACTCCCTCCCAAAACCAGTACCAATTTTGCACCCTTGACAAGTTCGGGCATCAATTCAGCAGCTTTGGCTCTTACTGAAAGTTCTCTAGATGTAGAACAGATCCAAATGTTGAATCACCATGTTTAACACCCATACCCGAGACTTCATCCAGAGATGATCCTGAATTTCTGCATAATAGCAACCCTGAGGTACTTTCTGAACCAAATCCAATTTCCTTACTTGATCTATAGCAGTGGCTAAGGTCAATACTATTCGCATACTACTGTCTATAGCAGCAAATAGAGACTGGCCTCTTAAACAATTTGATGTAAAAAATGCATTTTTGAACGGAGATCTTGAAGAAGAGGTTTATATGGAGATACCACCAGGAGTTAAGACACACTTCATGAAGGAAAATGAAGTTTGCAAACTAAAAAAGACATCATATGGTCTCAAGCAATCACCAAGAGCTTCGTTTGGGAGGTTCTCCTTGGCTATAAAGAAGTTTGGGTACAGACAAAGCAATGCAGATCATACCCCATTCATATAACATAAAGGGGAAAAGTTAACTGTTTTAATTGTGTATGTTGATGACATGGTGCTAACTGGAGATAATCTATCTGAAATGGAGTTGTTGAAGAAATATTTGGCTTCTGAATTTGAAATGAAAGACCTTGGACAACTCAAATACTTCTTAGGTATTGAGATTTCAAGGTCAAATCAAGCTATTTTCTCTCACAAAGGAAGTATGTACTGGATTTACTAACAGAAACAGGGATGCTAGCTTGTAAACCTGTAGATACACCAATGGAAATGAATCACATGCTTGGCACTTTCCCAATCAAGTTGGAATAGACATTGGATGATACCAAAGATTAGTAGGGAGACTAACTTATTTATATAATACTAGGCCTGATATTGCGTATGTTGTTAGTATCATAAGCAGATTCATGCATGCTCCAAGTATTGATCACATGCAATATATCGTATCTTAAGGTATTTAAAAGGAACACCCGGGTAGGGATTGTTGTTTTCAAAAAATAACACTTCCTCCATTGAAGGATATACAGATTTTGATTGGGCAAGAGATAAGACTATTAGACAATCTACCTTAGGTTACTTTACCTTTGTAGAAGCAATCTAGTCACTTGGAAAAGCAAAAAGCAAAAAGTTGTAGCAAGGTCAAGTGCAGAGGCTGAGTTTAGAGGTATGGCACAAGGAGTTTGTGAATTACTATGGGTGAAAAGCGTTCTAAAGACTTAGGAATCAGCTATGAACAACCTATGAAATTGCAATGTGATAACAAAGCTGCCATTGAGATTGCACATAATCCGGTTCAACATGATAGAACTAAACATGTTGAAGTGGATAAACATTTCATCAAGGAAAAGTTGGATCAAGGAATAATTCACTTTTCATTTATCATATTAGAAAATCAACTTGCTGATGTTTTGACTAAAGTTATCCCTATAAAAGTCTTCAAAGAAGCAATTGGCAAGTTGGGCATGATGGATATCTTTGCACCAACTTGAGGGGGAGTCTTAAATCATGATATTTTAAATTCAAATTTAAACATCTGTGTACTAGCTGATCAAATTGTTATTCAGTTTTATGTAGATAGGAATAGAAGTTAGTTTCCTATTTCTTAATTAGTTGTTACATATTCAAATTATAGTACTGTGTATAAAAAGACCTTGTGTGAGGCTGATTGAACAATGAAAACAGAGACCAAGAAAGGTACTCTTTTTAACAGAGAAGTTGAAAGTTCCCCTGATCTTGAACACAAGTTATGTGACATTTTCAAAAGGGATCTGCGGCACTTCGTAACAAATTGTTAGAGATGTATATAGACCACTGCATTGTCCACGCTTCAAATCTAAATAATTCTTGCGTGAGAAAACATGTTAGAAATTAAATACAAAACCATTCATGTATTGTCTTCACCTAACAGGTTAAATTCTTGGGAGACCTGTGGTATTGTATATATCCATTATTGGTGAAGAGTGAAGAATCATTCCCTCACCACAAGCTGTGAATAATCAATAGGGAGAGGCAAACTAGGACAGAGTTATCCCTTCCACATGGTAAAGAAGTCAACTACTCAAATTTACTACAACTTTTTTGCTCTTTTTTGCCAGCAACATGAAAGCCTTAACAAGCTCCTCCTTGACCATGAATAGAACAGAAGCTGCAAAAACACTCTGCACTATCTTTGTGCTCATCCCCTTATAAAAGCTAGGCAATCCTTCATAACGGATTATTTTTAATACTGCATCAAAAGTACCTGCATTGATGGAATTAGATGAGGTTTTGACATAAAGGAAGACAAATAACATAGTTGTTTTCTTCTTAGTTTTGATATTGCAAGATAGTAAGCGAAAGGCATAAAGACACTGAAGTTGGAGATTAAAATGAAGAAAAAGTATGCACCCAAAAAAATGAAGAAATAGTGCACTATAATTGTCAAGAAATATGCAGATTATAAGCAAAAGAAATAAACAGGAGTTGAAACCGTAATATAGTTAGAGGGAAAGTCAAGAAAACCAACTCTATATCACATAAGTAGAAGGGAAAGAAAGCCTGAGATGAAAAAGATGGGACAATAAAATCCTCTCCATAATGATGATAAATTCAAAACTCTTCATGAAACAATAAAGTAAAATAACAAAATGAAACAGAAAACATGAATTTCAAAATAAAATAGCACAGTTTCGCTCCCCTTTTGTTCCTCTTTGATTTAGCTAGAATATATACCACTTACAACAGCAACTAATGAAGCACAATTTACAAGATAGTGATCACAGCTTTAACAGAAAACAAATAGTAGAAACTCAATGACCACTATCAACCAGATACCGATAAGGATAAATCCCAGTTCACAAAGCCTCCCCAACTTTAGGGGTATAGGGTCAAAGAAACTGTTTCCTAAAAACTCAAGCAACCTTACAACTTGTTCCAAGGAAAGAATGGAGATAATAATGAAAAATACATATATATATATATATATATATATATATATATCACACACACACACACACACACACACATATATATATATATACACACATTTAAAAAGTCCAAAGGCAAATTAAGTTATACTGCATCTATCTAAAAGCAAACCTGAGTATCTTAATGAGTTACTTCCGCCAATCGCCTGTTTTGCCTGAAGCCTTGACTGCATTCAAAGAAACATGATGTATCAAGAGTCATCAGACATATATACAAGAGTGTTATTGTGCATGCGAGTTTGAGAGTAGAGACTGGGCAGAATAGTCAGTTAGATAGATATTACTACAAGCAAGACTGCAAGATAACAAATTCAACTCAGTTGTTAGAGCATTTGCAGGCTGAATAGTCACTTGCATACAGATTACAGCAAGCAAGACTGGAACAGAGAAAACTCTGGTTGCATGGGATGAATGTAAAGAAACCATAAAAAATCAGGATAGTTGAAAATATAGCAGTCTAAAATTGTTTATAAGAAAAGTTATTTCAGGCAAAAGTGGACCAATATGAAGATTGATGGGATATCTGCTTTGGTGAAGTTGAGAAAAGGTTTTATCACCTTAATAATAAATAACAATTAAGGAGAAAATGAAGGAACCATTGGTGAATTTACCTTGACAACAAGTAAGGGATATGTTGAGACAGTAGCTCCAAGTTTTGCTAATGCTCCCACCAAAAAGACCTTTTTGAAGGACAAGAGGATGCTTACTGTTATGCACAACAAGAGAAAATATACAGACAAGTGACATTAAACAAAATAAAATGTTCTCCTATAACATACTTTCTACTTTCATTTAAAATTAGTCTATACCTCCAAAGCAGTTACACTTGTATCTCCCTGCTTCTTAGCAGAGCGTTTTGCCCTTATATGCTTTAATGTGCTCTCATAAATCATGAACTGGATTGATGGATTGCATACCTGTAATGAAAATTCCTAGTTATATAAAGATAATATAAACATTAAACATTAACTTAATACATCAATTAAATAAATGATGAGGCTAACCATAATAAGAGCAGGAATGACACCCTTCCAAAATCCAATTATACCCGCTTCACCATAGACTTCATTAACCTTTCACCCAAAACAGAATCTCATATCAGCATTAACAAAAGTGAAAGTGCTCATGTAACAGGAAATATGACAATCTTAGGTATGGTACACTTTAAAGTACTAGTCAACCCTAAAAATAATCTATGCTTTTCTTACAAAGTAACAAATCTACAATTCAATATGAAATATCATGAATGCAATTTCATGAGGTAACTCATATTTTCGGTTTATGACATGAACATTGGAGCATGAAGAATGTGAAACGATAAACCTTTTCCCAAAATAAAGAAGTTGAAATTTTCTGAGATTTGAAAAATAAATCTCAGCAGAAGAAGATCTGATAATTTAAGTTTGTTTTTTCAAGCAGTAAATCTAGTGGTTAAGAAAAGGGAAAAGATCAAGAACATGAAGAAAATCCTCACTCATGCCCTGACCAATGTAAAGAATAAGCAATAATCAAAGAAAGAAAGTGGAAAAAGAAGCAAGAGACTAACTGCTTGTATAGTTCCAAATGGTCGAGGTTTTATAGAATGCAGTTCAGCCAATTTGTCTTGTAATGTAGAGTCTGATAAGCTGCTTTCAGAAGCAGCCCTCCTTAAAGCTTCTTTCTTTTCGTCCATGATTTTTCTTTCTGCTTGAGTATGTGTCTAGAATCAATATATAAAATGTCACACATTATTGACATTGACAGTGGACCCAAAACATGGATACAAAGTTTAAGGGTAGCATCAGAAAATTGGATAATGGCTAGTTTTAAGCATTCAAAGTCTATGGATTGTTCCCCCTTTTGGCTCTATGCGACGAAATTTTTTTCAATACTACCATCGCAAGTACATCCCGCCAATAGAAATGCGCCATGTCAGCTTGTGTTGTACCGGAGAGAGAAAAAAAAACTACTTTTGTATTTTACACTAGGTCTTACCGGTAAGACATAGTGTAAAATACACTGTCACACTCAATTTCCGGTGCGATGGTAGTACTCAAAAAGCGTTCCTATGCCACATAGTGGTAAAGTATTGAACTTCTCTTAGACCCAACATAACCCAGTTTGTACATGGAATGGTTTAAAAACATGTGCATCCATGCAAATCCAAGTATAGGAGTGTTAATGTTCACCAAAAAAACAAAGTCTAGGAATGTTACTGCTAATTTGTAATTTTGAGAATGTGTTTACTTTTACAAGCCACAATCATAGAATGTATTGAAAAGAAGTTTCTGTATATTGATTTTGAATAATTTACATGAGTGAGTATTTATACAAGAAAGAATCGCTAAGAATGACAAAGCGATGACTAAGCGATGACTAATCAATCCTAATCACAATCAATTCTAATCAATCACAATCAATCCTAATCAATCATAATCAATCCTAATTAATAGGAAATAAAAACGGAAACATGTTTGGATTCTGATTTTCTACACTCCCCCTCAAGTTGGGAGGTAAATATTGATCATTCCCAACTTGCCAATCAAGTCTTCGAATGCTGGACGGTGTAGGCCCTTGGTAAGGATATCTGCCGTTTGCTCTTTGGTTGGAACATATATCAAACGCACACTTCCATCATCTAATTTTTCTTTGATGAAGTGACGATCAACTTCCACGTGCTTTGTTCGATCATGATGCACAGGATTTTGAGCAATGCTAACAGCTGCCTTGTTGTCACAATATAGTTTTATTGGTAGGGAATATGAAATCTTCAACTCTTGAAGAAGTCTTCTCAACCAGATTCCTTCACAAACTCCATGAGATAAAGCTCGAAATTCTGCTTCAGCGCTACTTCTAGCAACCACTGTTTGCTTTTTGCTTCTCCAAGTAACAAGATTTCCCCACACATAGGTGCAATAGCCTGATGTAGATCTCCTGTCTACTGATGAGCCTGCCCAATCTGCATCAGTGTAGATTTCAATTGTCCTTTTATACCCCTTTTTAAAGAATAATCCTCTTCCTGGAGTATTCTTGAGGTATCTAAGCACCCTATAGACTGCACTAAGATGCTTCTCCTTGGGTGAGTGCATGAATTGACTAATCATACTCACCGCAAAGGCAATGTCAGGACGCGTATGAGATAAGTAGATTAGTTTACCAACCAATCGCTGATATTGTTCTTTATCCACCTCATTCCCATCTTCAATACCTAACTTGGTATTAGGTTCCACAGGTGTCTCAGCAGGTTTACACCCTAACATTCCTGTTTCCAACAAAAGATCTAGAACATATTTTTTTTGTGTTAGAGTGATGCCTGTTTTGCTCCTAGCAACTTCCATACCAAGGAAATATTTGAGAGTGCCAAGGTCTTTGAGTTCAAATTGAGCTGCTAGAAATTTCTTCAAGGTGTTCAATTCCTCAATATCATCACCTGTAAGAATTATATCATCTACGTATACAATAAGAATAGCAATTTTACCATCCTTAGAGTGTTTGTGGAAGAGAGTATGATCAGTCTGTGCTTGAATGAAGCCTCTTCTTTTGACTGCTTGTGTGAATTTGTCGAACCATTCTCTGGGAGACTGTTTCAATCCATATAGAGACTTTTTTAGTTTACACACTGATCCATTTCCCTTTTCAAAACCAGGTGGAGGATCCATATAGACTTCTTCATGTAAGTCACCATTTAGGAATGCATTCTTCACATCTAACTGTTGCAGAGGCCAATCTAGATTGGCAGCAAGAGATAAGAGAACTCGGATGGTATTGACTTTAGCAACCGGAGCAAAAGTCTCATGATAATCTATCCCATGAGTCTGAGTGAAACCCTTTGCAACCAATCTTGCCTTGTATCTGTTGATGCTATTATCTGCATTGAATTTTATTGTAAACACCCATTTGCATCCTACTGCCTGTTTTCCTTTGGGTAGGGTCACTATCTCCCAAGTTCCATTTCTTTTTAAAGCATTCATTTCTTCAAAGACAACATCCCTCCATTTTTGATCATTGAGAGCCTCATGTATATTTCTCGGTATCTTTGTACTATCCAACATAGTATTGAAAGCACGAAACCCTGGGGACAACTTTCCATATGAAATATGATTAGAAATAGGATGAGTAGTACAAGATCGAGTACCTTTTCTGAGAGCAATGGGCAAGTGTAGATCATTTTCACCATGACACTCAAGTATTGGGGTGTTGGAACTAGAACATGGTTCAGAATCCTGGCAGTGTAGAGGCTCTGGGTTATTCACACTTTGAGGAGGCTTTCGCCTGCTATAAACTTGTCCCCATTTTGAGGAGGCTCCTGATGGTGAGGATTCTGTAGCTCCCCCTGTTTCCAAAATTAGAGGTAATACCGTGGCACCAGTAGGTTCCCATGACTGATCTTCATCTACTCCTATCTCCCCCTGAAGAGAAGTCGAGGGGAAGAAATGGTCATTTTCAGAAAAAGTGACATCCATAGAGACAAAGACCTTACGAAGAGAGGGTGAATAACATTTATAGCCACGTTGAGTAGGAGAATAACCAATAAAGACACACTGGAGAGACTTAGGATCAAGCTTAGACCGTTGATGGGAGGGAATATGGACAAATGCAACGCAACCAAATAACTTGAGAGGTAAGGAGGAGACACCTCGGAAGGAAGGGAAGATACGAACAAGACTAGAAAGAGGAGACTGAAATTTCAGAATGCGAGATGGCATTCGATTTATCAGATACGAGGCAGTGAGAACTGCCTCTCCCCAAAGATATTTAGGAACACTCGTGGTAAACATAAGAGCCCGAGCAACTTCAAGGAGATGTCGGTTTTTTCTTTCCGCAACTCCGTTTTGTTGGGGTGTGTCAGGACACGAGCTTTGGTGAAGGATGCCATGTTGGGAAAGATATTCTCCAAGAATAGAGTTAAAATACTCTTTGCCATTATCTGTACGAAGAATTTGTATAGCAACTTGGAATTGGGTTTGAACCATGGCATGAAATTTTTTAAACACGGATGCAGCATCGGACTTATCCTTTAGAAGATACACCCAACAGACTCGAGAATGGTCATCAATGAAGGTAATGAACCATCGAGTACCTGAAATATTTTTAACACGGGCTGGACCCCATATGTCACTATGAATTAAGGAAAATGGGGAAGAGTCATGGTGAACTTTAGAAGGATAATGAGCACGAGTATGCTTGGCAAGTTGACAAATATCACAAGAAAACAAACTTGGACTTTTATGAATAAATAAGTTTGGCAACAACTTCTGAAGATAAATAAAATTTGGATGGCCTAGCCTACGATGCCACATCATAACATCATTACATGAATCAAAAGGAAACATAGAGTTTTTTTCTACGAAAACAGCTTCATGAGTCACATCCTCCTCAAAGTAGTAAAGTCCACCATCCTCTCTAGCACTGCCAATCATCCTCTCCGAGTCCTGTTCCTGAAAAACACAACCATGTGGAAAGAATTTAGCAAAGCAATGCAACTCAGAGGTGAGCTTGCTAATAGAAATGAGATTACAAGTCAGAGAAGGAACATAAAGAACTGATGTCAAAGTAATCAGCTCAGAAAGTTTAATGGTTCCGTGTCCCGCAATCTGGGAAAAACTGCCATCGGCGATCTTGACCCGAGAAGGTTCAGAATATGGAGTGTATGAACAAAACAAGCCAAGATTACCTGTCATATGATCAGAGGCTCCAGAATCAAGGATCCAATGATTTTGACTATCAACATGGAAAGCTGTACCTTGCTGGACCACATGACTAGTGGCCTTAGGAGGTTGAGTCAAAAGTCTCTGAAGTTGTTCAAACTTAGTCTTGCTAAGAAAGACACCATCAGAGTAAGAGGAAGAGTGTTTTGAGGAAGCCATGAATAGAAAGAGAAGGGTTGACCGTTGATGAAAAATCAAGTTTTGTAAATTTTTGATCTGACCTCTGGAACAGGAAGGGGAGAAGCCGGCGAGAAGGTCTGTGCAAGTCGCGGCGGAAAAAGACGTTGGGAAGGCGGCGCGTGGAGCTCACGCGCCGGAAACTGGCCGCGCGTGTGACGGCGCGTGGCGGCGCGTGCGGCGGTTGACGGCGATGGGTCCAGCGGCGGTCGACTCGTCGGATCCTTCTGAGTCGAATGGTCACCTCACTTTCTTGATCGGAGGTCAGTAGACTAGGTTTCTGTGTTGGACAGATTCAAGGAGGTGTTTAGGAGGTGTTTGACGGTGATGGAAGTGTTTGGATGGTTATTTCAGATTTGAATTAGGGTAGGAACGAACCCGCTCTGATACCATATTGAAAAGAAGTTTCTGTATATTGATTTTGAATAATTTACATGAGTGAGTATTTATACAAGAAAGAATCGCTAAGAATGACAAAGCGATGACTAAGCGATGACTAATCAATCCTAATCACAATCAATTCTAATCAATCACAATCAATCCTATCCCAATTACATTTTACAAAACTGTAAAACTTCAAATAAAATAGTCCAAGAAGTAATTGGAAATATCTGAAAGCACCTGCATACGAGTTACTAGAACCCATATTGGGTTTGTAAACAATACATTCAAGGACCTGCAGAGTAAGAAAATTGCAATAAGAATATCAATCAAATAAATGGAAGCGGGGTTAACTATCACACACACAACACAACACAGACATGAGTATTCTGAAATGTAACATTTAAATGAAAGTAGCATGATGGACTAATCACCCAGCAATAGCAGCCACAACAAGCCAACCAAACATTCCAACAGTACCATCTCCATGCCCTTTGACTTTCCTAGCAGCTGCAATTGCCACAGCCTTGTTCTTAAAAACTTGATAGAAGTAGTAGTAAATTCCCTAACAGCATTGAAAAATAAACATTTAGATGGCAACCCAACAACCCAATGAAAAACAAAAAACAAAAAACACAACACAAGTTAAGCCTTGAACATTACATCTTATAATAAATGAATAATCAGAAAAAAAACTAACATGGGGTGTAGTTAAAAATTAAAAATTGATAACCTGAGAAGCAGCGGTTCCAAGAAGAGAAGGTTTGAGGCCACTGTATAATCCACCCCACCCTTCACTTCCAATAACCTGATAAAGGGTCATAAATATAATTAAAAAATATATATGATAAACACAACAAAACCAAAAGAAAAAAGAGCAAAATTTGCACCTGAAAGATCTGAAGAAGAGTACCAGGAGCAGTAACAGTACTAGGAGTTAGCTTGTTTTTCTTGAGATTTCTCTCAGTTTGTTGGCGTGTGTTTACCTGAAAATAACAATGGAATTGGTTATAGAGACCAAGGGAGAAGCAAGGTAGAGAGATAGAGAGAAAGATTGGGTACCGTTTGAAGAGGATAAGTTATGATTTGAGCAATAATACCACCACCTGCACCAGCTAAACCATTTGCTATTGCGTTTGATTCTGACATGGTTGTTGTTGTTGTTATTGTTGTGTCTTACTACTTTGTTAAGAGCTTCACTTCACAATACATATGCCAGAAAGAACAGATGACAAGACTTTGACTTCACATGGCCACTAGGCTCAGTAAGTGAAACTGTGTCGGTTTTGTTATGATCAATTTTCTTTTGGTGAATTCTAAAGCTTTTAAGTAGGGGGGTTTTATTTCATTTAACGTCACATAACACACTTTTTTTCACGCTCAATATTTTGTGGTGCTCATATTTTTTTGAAGAAAAAAGAAAAATTATGACACGTAAAACGAATATCTATAACATTATACAATCATTTTTCCTACAACATAACTATTATAAAACCCTTTAATTAGTTAGTTGTAGATTGGTTATTATTTGTGGTGTAACTGTAATGTAGGTGTTAAGCTGATTTGGTAGTTAGACACCGCTAGAAATTAAATTCCTTTCATTAATATAAATAAAAATGTTTTTTTATTTTTTTATTTTCACATTTTTAAGAATATCTTTTCAGTTGGGATAGGCTTGACAATTATATATTCGGACCTAATTTATACGTCTGAGCTCATATTATCAACTCTCATATTATTTTTTAGATTATATTATCATTCTATTTATTTTTTTTGGTTGAGAGATTTAAAAATTAGGATCAGGATAATGAATCTTCACCTTGAGAGATTTCAACCCATGATAATTATTATCACCTTTAAATTACACCTAAAAAAATAATAAATAGAATAAAATAATATTTATTTTCATTCAATCAGTAAGTTATTCAAAAATACATTCTATACGTAAAAATTCCAAATAAAATTGATAGACTTTATATGCTAAATAATATTTAATTCGTGCGTCAGTTGAAAAACGTACATAATTTAAACATAATTGAATTAATTTCGTGTAGAGAAAAATATACGGGACTCTAAATTTTTTCAAAATTACTGGTTGCGTACTGATACTGCATACCGTATCTTACCTAAAGGGGAAAAAAATTAATAAAAAACTGACGCATTCGGCGAGAATTTTGTTTACATATTTGATTAAAAAACAGATCCTTTGTAGAAATTAAATTTGTTAAAAGTAAGGCCTAAATTGTACCCAAAAAAAAAGTAAGGCCTAAACACTTTTCCAATAGGTGTTTTAACTATATTTGTTAAAATTAAAATACACTGAGCTTTTCAATCAGATTGCCATCATCACTAGTACAGTAGTACTCCATCAGCTACAACATCACAACCATCAGTAATGCTAAATTAAAGAGAAATTGAATAGAAATTTAATTTGGATGCATTTCTAATATTAACAGTTTGACACATTTTAGATCTATATGGTGTAAAATTCAAAGGTAAAAGAAAAGGGAAAAACAAAATATAATTGCTTTGAACTATACATAATGAATAAATTCCCAACCAATGAAGTTTGCATCCTGGTGGTTGGTTATGCACGGCTCCTTCATCATAATCTGGAATCTAGTAACTGACTGAAGAAGAATCTCTAATCATTAATGTAACTGTTTGTATATCCACTCGTTTGAACGAGCACCGTCCAAGCACGGACACTTGTAAAAATAGGAAGGGTCGAGTCCGACACGGCGAAACGCTCCGACACGGTGTCGGACACGCGGTTGACTTTTTCCGACACGTTGACCATTTCGACACGCAAATTTGACCGTATCCGACACGGTCAAATGACATTTTCGTAATTTTTTTAATTTTTTTTTAATTTTTTAAAAAAAAAATTATTTTTTTAAAAAATTAAAATATATTAATAAAGCTTCCACCTGATCATATCAATTTTATCTTTTTGTCTTTTTTCCCCTTAAGTAGATAAGAGATCATCTCAGCATCAATGTTGTCAATTCCTATCACGCTCTTGTTGTATCTTCTTCTCTCTGATCTCTCTAATATGATTTGATCTCTCTATCTGACATTATATCTCTCTCATCCCAGTTCTTATTTTTTTTATTAGAGCTTCCATCTTTATAACGTGTTGATGGGTATTATTAATTTAGTTTTATTTTTTTTAAATTATTAAATATTAAATAAAATATACACTATATAAATTAAAAATATTATTTAATATTAAAACGTTTCTCAACGTGTCAAAATCCATAATTTTTTAGGATTGACGTGTCGGAGTGTCGTGTCGTGTCGTGTCACTTGTCGCGTGTCGTATCGGTGCTACATAGTCCATATCTAGAAAAATGCTTTACTGCCTGCAGCATATAACAAGAAATGATAACTTTTTCTTTTTTTTTAATCTTTTAGGTTATTGTCAGCATAGAACTTAAAAATCTCGGTTCCAAAATCCACTAGTTCTCTTTTATATTTCTCAAGTTCAACTAAAGATCAAATTCCTTCTTGGAACGCCTTATATCATTTGAGCATAACCCCATTCGTGGAACGCCTCTCCACGTTTTCTCCCACTATTCCCTCACCATTCATAACACTCCACGTGCCTTCTCCCATAACTAACTTCTCCCTTCTTCATTGCCCTTACACTCATGTTGCTCTTTCCCCCAAACACATGGGCCTTCCTCTTTCTCTGATAGACTTTATTAAATGGGCTCAAGGGCCCATCAATACTCCCTCCATCAAGAATTTTTTTTTTTTGTTGGTGTGGCCCCTCCATCAAGATTTACCTTGTCCCTAAGGGGAAAGTATGGGAATTGCTCTAGAAAATCAGCAAGGTCTTCCCAACTAACATCACATTCCGGAAGCTCTGCTCGACGCACCAACACTTCAAGTCTCCCATTGAGCAATTTCTTAAATTGTAAAATAGCAAAAGGATGAACTCGTAGCTCCAATGCGTCCGTAAGACACTGAGGCAGATTCAATACTGTTGTAGAAGGGTGAACTGCCAATTTCAATTGCCAAATGTGGAATATATGATGCACCTTTGAATATGAAGACAACTTTAATTCATATGCCACTGGTTCCACTCTTGCTTTAATTTTAAAAGGTCCATAAAATCTAGGACTCAATTTCTGATTAAGTCTTCGGGCCAAAGAGCGCAATTTATAATGTTGAATTTTTAAATATACTGATGGACCTTTAGCTTTGGTGTATAAACGAAAAAGAAGAGGAAAGAAAATTAAAGAGGCCCAAAAACAACAGCCCAATAGTGTTGACAGCAAGCAAACCGATAGTAAGGATAAACAGCCCAATGAGAGTAACAACAAAGATGATTGCAAGAATGCAAGTGAGACAGATGCCCAGACGGTTATTGGAGTGGACACGTGGCTAGCATTGAATGGTGAGGAAAATGTGGGGAGTCAGTTAGGCAAAAAAAATTATAATAATGTTTTTTAATTAAATAATTACGCATTTATTACAGTTTTGGAAAAAATTATGGATCTATTGCACACTGTGACACCTCTTTTGGGTGTCACATGTGACGCCCCATTGAGGCGTCTCACCCTAAGGGGAAGACGCCCAAATGGGGCTTCTCTTATGAGGTGTTGTCACGTGTCACTTTTTTTTCCAAAAAAAAAATTAATTTAATCATAAAACTTCTAAAGGCTATAACTTTTGACTCGAGTATCCAAATCAGGTAATTCTTTTTTTGATTCCACATAAATTTTCGAGCTCTACGCAATGACATCTCATTTGACATATTTTATTCCTTCATGGATCTCGGCGAGGACGTACTCTGCTCCTTCCGAGTTCAAGCATTTTAGCATGGGGTTGTGCAAACCCTTTCTGAATAGCTGGTCATTCATGATCGCATATTGTGTCGCATCTCGGACCAGCTTCCTAGCTTCCAGGTGATCCTCTGGCAGCATTCCTTTCTCCAGATAATCGACCAGAGGTTTCCTCCAGTTGTTTACGGAGGTTATCACCATCACGCAACTCGACGTTGTTATACTTTGTTGAACCACGGTTCTGTGATTACCCGGATTTTTGGTACTGGCTAACTTTGACAAGATGTCAGCTCGGCTATTCTTCCCTCGTGGGATGTGAGCAACCCGAACCTCATCAAAGTCGGCCATGATTTCCTAAACTCGACTCAGGTACTTCATCAGTAGAGGACCTTTGGCTTGGTAATTTCCTTTTATCTGTGAGGTTACCAGCTGTGAGTTGCTAAAGATTTGCATTTTCCTAGCTCCGTGTTCTTTAGCCTGGATCAACCCAGCTATTAGAGCTTCGTATTCATCTTGATTATTTGAGGTTGGGAATCCCAAGTTCAGAGAATGCTCAATGGTTACTCCTTCTGGGCTTTCTAATATGATTCCAGCCCCACTTCCTTTATTGTTGGAAGATCCGTCTACGTAGACCTTCCATGTATCGCTGAGTTCCTCATGTTCTGAGTTCAGTGGCGTCAATTCCATTATGAAGTAAGCTAAGGCTTGTGCTTTGATTGTTTTTCGGCTTTCATATGTTATGTCATATTCACTGAGTTCTATTGCCCAGTTAGTCATTCTTCCTGCCAAGTCCAGCTTGTGCAACACCTGCCGAATAGGCTGGTTAGTCCTGACGATTATTTGATGGCCTTGGAAATACGGCTGCAACCTTCTAGCCGTGACCAGCAAAGCAAAAGCTACCTTCTCTAGCATTTGATACCTGACCTCTGCACCTTGTAAGGCTCTACTGACAAAGTAAATTAGCTCTTGACCTTCGTTAGTTTCCTTGATCAGTACAGCGCTTATTGCTTCCTCCCCTGCTACCAAATACAGAATTAGAACATCTCCTGGGTTTGGCTTTGAGAGGATCGGTGGAGTTGATAAACATTTCTTTATCTTCTCAAACGCGGCTTCACATGCCGGGTTCCATCCATCAGTTGCTTCTTTCTTTAAAAGTTTAAAGAATGGGAGGGCATTTTCAGCCGATTTTGGAAGAAACCGGGTTAGCGCAGCTAATCGTCCGGTCAGCTGTTGGACCTCCTTTTTGCTTTGGGGTGCTTTCATGTCATGCACAACCTTGCATTTATCCGGGTTCGCCTCAATTCCTATGTGGGTTAGCATGAAACCCATAAATTTCCAGCTGCTACCCCGAACGCGCACTTTACCGGGTTGAGGCGGATGCGATACTTCCTGAGCTCCTGAAACGTTTACTCAAGATCCTGAACATGATTCATCATATCAAATGACTTCACAATCATATCATCTATGTATACTTCTACATTTTTT